GATGGTAATGGCATAATAGTAACAGAGGTGGAGAAAGGTGAGTTGGGCACAGTAGCGCATGTGATCCCAGCCTTCTGGAGACTAAGATAGGATTATGAACTTGAGGCCATCCTGGGCTACATAGTGAGAACATCTCAAAAGAAAAGCAGAAAGGAGTTACCAAACTCTAGATCTGTGTGAGCAGTCAGAATCAGTGGGTGATAGAGCAAACAGAACAGGCGGAAGAGAGAAGTCCATGAACGTCAGGTGTTGAGTCTCTTTACTGAGACAGGAAGGACTGGGCTAGGTGTAGAGGAGGACTGTCATGGTTCGTCTTCATCGTTGACTTGACTGGATTTGGAATCATCTAGGAGAGACAACTCTAGACATGCCTCTGAGGGTGGAGGGAAGAGCCATCCTAAATGTGGGCAGCACCTCCCGATGGACTGGGGCCCCAGAATGAATAAAAAGGAGTAAGGAGTAAGCTGAGCATCCACATTCATCTCTCTCTGCTTCCTGCCATGGACCAGCCACCTTATGCTCCTGTCATCATCCTTCCCTGACATGATGGACTGGATTCCCTCAAGCCATGAGCCAAAATAAACCCTTGCCTTCTTGAGTTGCTTTGTTGGGTATTTTATCATGGTGACAACAGAAGCAACTAATAAGGAGACCAAGGACTCAGTTCTGGATCTATGAATTTGGGGACTCCTGCTAGGGAATGTGGGCTTGCAAATGTACAATTCAGGGAAGGTCTAGGAGAGAATCTGAGCTTTGAACATTATCAAGTAACAAGTAAAGCCAGGGACCTAGATGAACTGTCCTTGGGAGTATCTAAGAAGAAAAGAGTGACCTAGGGAGCACCTGGGACAGAGCTGCATGTGGAAGTCAGCAGGCCCAAGATGGAGACAGAAGTGGGCCTAAGACCACAGCCACAGCATCCACTGGCACTTGCTGGAGATGGAGGATGTTATGTCCTGCTCAGAGCCTGTTGTAGTAGAGACTGCAGTGTGGGCCCAACAGACAGAGCTTCAGCAAGCCCTTCATATGGTGGGGGTTTGGGCAGAGGCTGCACTTTTGGGACCAGGGAAAGGTGGGCTTTGGAATGGAGGAGAAGGAATGCAGGAAGAGGTGGCTGGAACATATGCAGCTGCAAGTTCCCTAGAGTGGAGTGAGGCCTACATGTGGGATTTAGAACACAAGGTCCTTGCTGACCATGACAAGAGTGGTCTTGGGTGTGAAGGACTGCAGCCTGACAGACTGTGGTGTTGGGGAGAGAGGGACAAGGAGGGCAGAAACACCAATGACTCACCATGTGGTGTGGGGCTAGCACAGCAGGCCTGGGCTGTTTGGAGCCTGTAGGAGGCAGAGAGGACTGGGCCTTTACCAGCTCCTGGGACATGCTCTGTCAGCACTTGGCCCACACAGCCTAGTGAGAGGGTCTTTCTGTGCCCAACCATGGTAGTTCACACTAGCAAAGTCATTTATGGTAAATACCTCTTTTGCCTGAGCCACTGTATGCAGCTGGGGTGGGGGCTGCAGACTGAGTTAGTCATATGGATTCCTGTGACTGCATGACTGACCTGTAGTACAACCCAGAACCCCAAGACTTAGCAGACCCTCCATGGTTAGTGGTTCTCTGCAAGAATACCACTCTCCATAGTGGGGAGAAGGAAGCATTGTCTTGAGGGCTCTGGGGAGCATAGCTGGCAGCTTGCTCCTGGTGCCCTTTTCCCTGGCCAATGCTCATCTGTAGCCTTTGGTGTCACAAACTGTAACTCTGAGCATAGCAGTGTTTCTAGTTCTAGGGGTCTTTCTAGAGGATCATCAAACATAGGATGGGCTTAGGGAATCCTGGCACATGTATTGTCTTGGCCTTCAGACAGACAGAGTCTCATGTAGCCTGGGCTGGCCGAGGATGACCTTGAATATGTTTTTATATTTTACTTATTATTTTTATGAGTGTGTGTATATTGCCTGCATGTATGTAAGTGCACCTGTGTCGTGCAGTGCCCATGGAGGACAGAAGCCACCTTTGGATCCCCTGGAACTGGAGTTACAGACAGTTGTCAGCTGCCATGTGGGTGCTGGGATTTGAATCCAGGTCTTCTGCAAGAACAGCCAGTGTTCTTAACCGCTGAGCCATCTCTCCAGCCTCCTTGAACTTTTTTTTAGAGATTTATTTCCTGGGCATGGTGGTGCATGGCTTTAGTCCCAGCACTCAGAGGCAGGTGGATCTCTGTGAGTTCAAGACCAGCCTGGTCTACATAGCAAGTTCCAGGCCAGCTGGGGCTATAGGCAACTCTGTCTCAAAAATAAAAAAAAAAAACCACCTCACTATGTAGACCAGGATGTGCTTTGAACTCACAAAGATCTGCCTGCCTCTGCCTCCAGAGTGCTGAGAATAAAGGCGTGCACCACCATGTCCAGTGAGAGATTTATTTTATTTTTAGTTATGTGTATGTATGAGTGTGTCTGTATGGGGATATGTGCATGTGAGTACATGTATCCATGGAAGCCAGAAGAAGGTGTCTGATCTCCTGGAGCTGGAGTTACAGGCTGTTGAGTACCTGATATGGGGGCTGGGAGCCAAACTCCTGCTCTCTGCAAGAGCAGTATGCACTCTTAACCACTGAGTCATTCTCCAGCCCCTGACCTTAAGTTTCTAATCCTCCTGCCTCCATCTCCTGAGTGCTGGGATGACTGGTATGTGCCATCATACTTGGTTTATGCAGTTTTGGGAGTGGAACCAGAACTAGGCAAGCATTCTATGAAGTGAGCTATATCGCAACCCAGTCTAACACACCTGCTTTTAAAGACATTTTTTTAAAAAATATTTTTATTTTTATTTTATGTGTGTGTGTGTATCGCCCGCATGTAGGTAAATGCACCTGTGCAATGCCCTTGGAGGATAGAAGAGGCTGTCGAATCCCCTGGGACTGGAGTTGTGGCTAATTGTTAGCTGCCGTGTGGGTGCTGGGATTCGAACCTGGGTCTTCTACAAGAACAGCCAGTGTTCTTAACTGCTGTGCTATCTCTCCAGCCCCTTAAAGGAATTTTATAATGAAAGGAACAAAGACGCGATGGTCAGAGGAGGGTATTGGCTCAAGACAATGCTATGTGCTGGGTATGAACTGTCCTCCTGAAAGATGTGTGATAGGCCTGGTCTCTAGCTGGCAATGCTGTTGAGTGGTAATTGGATTATGAGGGCAGGTGAGGGCTCTGGCTCCATCAGTGGTTTAGTGCACTCATGAGCTCACACTGCACAGACCATTAGGAGATGGTGTCTGCTTAGAGGAAGGTTGTTACTGGGACATGCCTTTTTGAAGGGTGTATTTATCCTGATTCTTCCTGTCCATCTCTTCTTGCTTCCTGACTTCCATGAGGTAAGCAGCTTTGCTATTCCAGACCCTCCCACCATGATGCTCTACGTCATCACCACCCAGAAATGATGGAGCCGCTGACCACGGACTTGAAACCCCTGTAGTTGTAAGCCAAGATAAGTCATCCTTCTTCCCTTTGAATTGTTTCTCTCAGGGAGTTGTCACAGTGAAGAAAAGCTAACTTACATAGCAAGGATTTTAAGGAAGAAGACTTCTGATGACCCACCCACACACCCACAGGAATGACAGATAAGGGGGAGTTGAGGATTCACGAGACAAGTTCTTAAGAAGGTCAGGTGGAAGGATTCAGGTCAGTGTGTATCTAAGCAGCATGTGCAGTTCATTCAGAGTGGTAGGAGAACGGGAGGCTGGCATAGTTCACTGGCAGGCTTAATGACAGTACCAAGGGAAGACTGGCTCATTGTTCTGTTCCCTGGAAGATCTGAGAAGGAAGGCCACTCTTGGGTGCACAGGGCTGGGGTAGAGGGCTATAGACTGAAGACAGAGAGCTATGTTGCCATTTGGGAGAGCAAGATCTCCAATAGAGATGTGGGATCAGGGTCTTGGACATTCTTGGCACAGATTTATGAGCGTCAGCACCTGCGGAGCCTTGCGCTTGCCTGCTGTGTTTGCCTGTGCAGGTGTGGGCACAGAGCAGGTGCAGAGGATTTCCCAGGGTGGTGGGGTACTGCCAGCTCAGTGGGACAGAGGGAGAGAGAGTGTTGGCAAGGAAGGTGGTGCAAGAGAGGATAAGCAAGCGTGCTGGCCGGCAGTTCAGTTTCCCAGGTGTGTCTGCCCACAGCTGTCTGGCAAGTTATTACAGATGGTTATATTTTAAAACAAACCTGGGTTCATTCTGGCGTGGAGAGCACATGAATGCTCAGATGGCTGGGCTGACTTCAAGTGTGGCTTTCCTGTTTGACACGCCTCTCCTCCATGTCTGAATCCACTTGGGAGTGTTGGAAGCCCTGTCCTGCTGGTATGCACAACCCCCAACCTTGTCTCTCTGTCCTGACTTTCCAAATGGGTCACCTGAGGTCGAGTCCAAGAGGGAACAGTGACATGCTGATACCCATGAGACAGTATGGACAGGGAGGCCTGGGTACTAAGAGCAGACCTGCAGGGACGGAGTGGGTGCTGTGGAGTAGGGGCTGCAAACCCTGATATTGGTCTGAGTCCAGCCTAGAGGATCTTGGGGAGGGAAGGGAGAGTAAAATGGGGGAACAGAGGGGTTGCAATACCAGAGACCTTCCCTTTCCCTGCTTATCTCCCCAGACCCCCAAGGGATGCAGCACTCTGGGTGTCCAGGCAAGTAGCTCAGGAAGATTGGATCCTGAGGGACACTAGGGACCTGGATCCTGGAACTGGGGCACAGGTGGGGAAGGGGTGTTGGAATGAGGCCAAAGCTCAGTTAGAACTGGGGCACTTTTCATGTGGGACTTGCTTCTATACAGCTTTCCTAGGGAATCCTGGGAAATTGTATGCCTGAACCTGACTGAGTGGAACTGGTTAGGCCAGGTGTGGGGCAAATGTGGATGGATGAGGCTTTGGGGCAGTCTAGTCTAGGGGCAGATGCTTCTGACCTGCTGGAGGGAGGGACAGGATGGTTCTCCCAGTCCCCCACATTGAAGAAGAGCCTCCAAGTAAACCACATGTTTATTTTGAACATTCAAATGTACAAAAACAAAAATGATAACAAAATCCATGACACAGATCACGCACACACTCACACAGACACATACGTAGCATCTCAGGTCACTTTATGTACAAAATAGAGCAGAAGGGGGAGGGGAGGCTGGGAGGGGAGGGCAGTGGAGGGCACTAGTGTCCGATGACTGTACATGCTTGCTGCTCAGCCTGGGTCACAGGAGCCCCTTCCCCACCCAGTAGAGGCAGGGGGCAGGGTGGGAGGTGGCATCTGAGGTGGCCGGCAGCTGGAGTAAAATGTGAGAAATCCCAGATCTGGGGAAGTCCCTTCTCCAGTTTGCTCAGGCTAAGGGTGCTAGGATGTGTAGGAGGGACCCAGTTGTGGGGAGGAGGGACCACTGTGTCTGGAAGATGAAGTACAGTTAGGGGGCCCTCAAGGGTCATTTGATCTCCCCAACTGGGCCTCAGTTTCTCCATCTGCAAAGCCAAGGGTTGAGCAATTGCTCCTCTTGCCTGAGTCTGTGGTCCCCAGTCATGTGTCACTATGATGAGGTGATCTTTAGGGAGGAGGGAGAAGCCACCAATGCCACAAAAGTAGGATATCTGGCAGAGAACAGCTGAAGCACCTGACACAGGGTTTGCCCAGAGCAGGGGACTGAGGAAGAGCCACTTCTGCTCTGCCTTCCTGCAGAGACTCCTGGGACACTCATTTCTACCTGCTCTGGAAACTGTAGCCCAGTTACAGAGTGCGAGGCTAGGGCACAGGTGAGAGACTCCCTCCTCACTGACCCTGAGGCCTCCATCCCACATCTCTGTTCCTCCTCCACTTTGAATGGGGTGGGCACAGTTCTTTGGGCAGAAACACACCAGGATCAGGGTCAGGGCCTCTAGTCTTTCAAGGTGAGGGGTGGATTACACATGGAGCCTGATCCTAAATACAAGTCATGCTCCATCCCTGGCTGGGTGGTTGACGTAGGCAAATTGCTTCACCTCTCTGAACCCCAGCCTTTTCTTCTGCATCAAAAGGGCTAAGAACAGTCCTACCTCATAACTGTGCCATGAAGAAAACAAGATGTTGCTTTCACTGTGCTCTATGTAGTTCCAGTGTCTGAGGTACCTAACAAGCATGGGCTCCAGCTTCATCAGAGCCAAGGGCAGCTCAGAGTCGCAGCTGAGTGACTCTGGACATGCTTGGGAGCAGCAGAAGGTAGCAGAACTTGGCAAAAGTTCACTGCACAATAGATGAGGGCAGGTGGGGACTTTAGAAATGGGAAGCCTGGACCTTCTCCAGTGACCTACACCCAGTCATACCCAAGTGTCTCCAGTGTGTTCCTGGGATGGGGGGCTCGGGTTTAATCAAGGTGACTCAGCATAGGAACAAGGCTCAGACGTCAGAAGTCTCATCACTACTGTGACAAAGCATAAAGGATTGGGATGGTATGTCTAGTGGGCTTAGATAGCCAGGCAGCTTCTGTCACCTCTTTCCCAAAACCCTGTCCTCCCAAGGCCTCCCCCAAAGCTACCTCTTCCAACACAACAGCAAGATCTTGATGAGGTTCAGTGTCCCCAAAGTCTAAGTTCTGTATGCAGCTGTCACCCAGCAACAGCTTGTCCTCATGACAGACACTTGACCCAGTACTGGGCCTGATGTCATTGGCTGTTACTGGGCAACCTGGATCTCGGCAGGTTGGGCTGAAGCCTTTGCGACTATCTTCAGGGGACAGGGACTGAGCTGTGTATTTGCTCTCGAAATGGAGATACAAATCCAGGGGCCAGAGGCAAGTCTTGGACACATGTCCCAGGCACAGGCCACAGCCTTCCACTCCCGTGTCATGTCTCAGATCGAGTGGCAGTGGTGAACACAGACGGGGACAGAGGGGAGGGGCAGGAGGCACTGGTGCCCACTGAGTCAGGTAGCCTGCACTGCTCAGACACTTTTGGGACACCTGTATCCTCAGCTGTCCATCTGCTAGGGCCCTTCCCTTCACCACCTGGGGCTCCCAAGATGTTCCTGTGTCTTGTTGGAAAGGATCACACCCTTGCAAATGTTCCCCTGGGCAGGTATAGGCTGGCTCAAAAAAACCCTAAGGACAGGCAGTAATGTACACAGAGAAAGATGCTGAGGGGCCTAAAACTCTGCGCTATACTCCTGGCCCTACCATGTTGTGCTATGTGATCCTGGACAAGTTACTTGTCCTCTCTGAGCTCTTCCCCATCTCTCATAAGCAGGAGCTTGGAATGGATGGCTGGGTGGCTTTTCTCAGCTCTGTCATTCTTAGTGCTCTTGTGGGAACAGGTGAGGACTCAAACGTGGGGACCAGGAAGCCAGAGCTGTGATGCTCTCAGATAAGCAATGGTGCCAGGCTGAGGGATTTGGTGGGAGCTAATGCCTATAATATGTGTGAGTCTGCCCCGACCCTTGTGTCAACTGTGACTCTAACCGCTGTCTAGCATGATCCATCTACTGTCCAGTTCCAGAACCTTCCATGCTAAGCCACTGGACCTTCAGGTCTAACCTGGTCTATCTAACAGTTATCATGGCTCATCTCACGTTCCAAATGCAGTGCTCTCAGAAGTAACCAACAGAAGGGCCTCCACTCACAAAGGCGAATGCAGGCCCAGAGAGAGCAGGTACTTACAGAAGGTCACACAGCAAATCAGCAGCAGGACTGCCTAGGAACCAAGGGCTCCCCTTTCACACCCAGCGCTTTGCCCTCCCTCTCAGCATCTTCTGTTCTCCTCAGAACCATGCAGGAGTCAGTAAGGCATCCCTACCAGGAGCTGTGTCTCCTGGGTCACAGTGCCTCTGCTTTGGATGCTCTCAGCCCAGGCTAGAGTGACCCAGGTCCTGTCATGGGCACGAAGTGGGGGAGAGGCAACCATGTCGGTGGGCAGAGTTGCCAGTGGGCACAGGGGGTGATTACAGCCCTTTGGCCTCTGGGGTCTTGGTCCCTAGCCATTCAGATGGTATCTGGGAAAGGAACCTTTTGGAAACTGAGGTGGGACTTGACTGGGCATGGACCAACATTCAAACCATGGCACACAAAGAAACAGGTGAGAGGAAGGAGAGGGAAGGGGAGGACAGGATTGCCATGATCTCACAGTCCCTGTAGGCAGCTGAGGAAGATGGAGGAGGGGTGTCTGAGAGCATATGTCCCTCACATCCTTTCTATAGTCTCTTGTGGGCCTGAAGTATAGGGGATGGGGGTTCAAAGGTCACTCCACCCATAACCCCTTAAGGGATGCTGTTGGGATTAGTGGGATTAGATGTGACAAGGAAGACAGGATGTGAGAGGAGGAGAGACCACTCCAGTGCACTGCCAGGAGGTGGGCAAAGCCTCCATTCTCCCAGGCTGGACTGGCTGACTTAAGATACTGGTCCCATTCAGGTGACTGAGGGGATACCCATCACAAGGCATCCTAGAAGTATGGGTACAGATGAGGGGAAGTGGGAGGTACAGCCAGGAATGGGACAGGAGGGAAGGCCAGCATGTGGACAGGCTGAGGAGGGAAGTGTCCCCTCAAGGTTCCCAAAATGGCAGGCAAGGGAGGGGCCCTGGATGAGGTGACCCTTCATGCCTTGGCCCTCCCCTTGCAGACATCGAAGGTGGCCTTCTTTGCACCTCCAAAGGCCTCCACCAGCTTGTCTTCCCAGGGGAGAACGTTGCCCAGCATCGGCCCGGTGCAGTTGGCCATGCCCAGGACCTGGGCAGGTGTCAGGACATGGTCCCACAGGTTAAACTGGGCAATGTCACCTACGAAGGCCTGGGTGGCATCAAATCGGCCCCCCAGGGTATCCTGAGTCAAGAAAGCAGCAGAAAAAGGAGAGAGGTATGGAGTGAGGGAACAGAAAGGATAGCAGCAACCTAGAGTCAGGCCCTGTCCCTGCAAAGTCTAGTTCCCAAGGTACTAACCCCACCCCAAGGTCCTAGACCCACCCAAGGTTCCAGTTCCACTTCCAAGATTCTAGCTCCACTCTAAGGTTCCAGTCTCAATCCAAAGATTCCAGGTCCTCCCCAGGTTCCTGCTCCCACCAGATTCCTGCCGCACTTTCCTCTCTCAAGGTTCTAGCCTCACCCCTGGGTTCCAGTCCTGCCCCAGGTTCCAGTCCCTCTGGTGGGTCTCTGCTCCCTTGGCCCCCAGCTGCCATTTACTGAAGGTGGAAGTCATTACTATTCTCAGTTCCCTCTACCTAAGGGTTGTCATGTCCTCATCAGGGTCCCAGTAGGTAATGTCTGGAGTCTGTAGTGCACCTGTCCTTACCTGCTCCTGGCCCAGGATAAGGATTCCATGTGGCTTGATGGGGTGCCAGGCTGCCAGGTTCTCTCCAGAGCCCCGCAGCTCTCCATCCTGGTATGCAGACCACAGCCCATCCCGTGTGGTCCAGGCAATACAGATGTGGTGCCAGTTGTTGTCCTTCAAACTCAAGGGCAGCTGGGCTACCTGGACACAGGTCCCCAATCCCCAGTCAGAAGGCCCAAGACTGGAGCAGTGGAATGCATAGCAGTCCCACATCTTTCCTCCAGGGATGGACCCCAAGGCCTGACCCTCATCCCAGCCAGTGTCTCTCCTGACCCCTCACTCTCTTTCCTCATAACTATACCAAGAAGCTTCCCTTAAGTCACAGGGACTGTCTATTTTTGGTTTTCAGCTGTTTCCAGGGCTTCAAGGTCACACAAGACCTATTCCCCTTGTCCATCTCACACAGTGCCCAGCACGTGGTGGGGCTTATTTAGTATTAGAGACAGAGTTAGCCTTGGACTCAGGCCAAGTGCTGGTTTGTGACTCTGGCTCTGCCACCAGGCCCCTATGTAACCCTGAGGAGACTGCTCTTTCCTCTCAGGGCCTCAGTTTCCTCATCTGTGAAGTAGTCAGACAAGGGAAGGAGAATACACAACCACTTTCTCTTTCTCTACCCAAGGCAGACATAGCTAATCATGAGCCCAGACTCAGCCTGGGACTCTCCTCACTGTGTTCTGGATGCCTCTGTTGATGTCTTGTTTAGCCTGTGAAGTGACAGCCACTTGCCGTTTGTGATTCTGATGCCCTCAGAGGGCCCTTTTATCCCAAAAGTGCTCTGAAGTCACGACTTCGTGCAGCATTCTCTGAGGCCTGCTGGGTGCCAGGCCCTGTTCCAGACATAGGGGGTGGATTGCATAGGCAATCTCTGCCTATGAAGGAGGGAAGGACTCAGGGAACAGCATTTCCCAGAATGGTTCATGTTCACTGTCTACATGACTGGATTTGGAGTCACCTAGGAGACATGCCTCTGGGCATTGTATGTGAAGGAGTGTCCAGAGAGTTTTAAATGAGGAGGGAAGACCTACCCCAAATGTGGCCTATGCACTGTGGTCCTAGACTCAAAAAAAAAAAGGAGGAAGCCAACACAGCACCACCATTCAACTTTCTCTACTTCCTAACTTTGGATACGTGACTAGCCACATCGTGCTCCTGCTCCCACAGCTAGGGCTGCTCTTGCCACCATGCATACCCCACCACGAGGAACTGTACCCTCAAGCTGTGAGCCAGAACAAAACACTAGTTTCCTTAAATTGCTCTTTTTTTTTTTCTGGTATTTTGTCACAGCAAAGAGAAAGTAAAACACTGCCAGATAAAACAGCCTGGGGGCCACAGGGGAAGCCCAGTGCCCATTCAAGGGAAAGGGGACTCAGGGACAGATGCCCTCTGGAAGGACATGGAATCTGGCAGTGGCACTATGAGCCCAGTGCATTCTGCAAAGCAAAGGTACAGAGGTGGGAAAGTGGAGGGATGCAAGAGCAAGGATGGCTGCTCGGTGCTCTGTCCGTGGTGCTGAACTCACTACCATGGGTGTCTAGTGCTGCCCTCCGCCAGGCTAAGGGTGGCGAGGGCTATAGGACCTCGTGCTCCATGTGGTGCCCAGCCACCCTTGTAGTCTTGGAGCTTATGGAACCTCAAGGCAATGCACTGTCTCCTGCCCACCTCCTCCTCTTCTTCCTCCAGGACACCCATACAGGCGGGCTCCCAGCTGCAAGGCTGTGGGCTGGTGGGAGATGCAGTGAGACACATGGTGTCTGCATTTCCAAGGGGTCTCAATAGATCACCCTCTAGGCCAAAACAATGTGGCAGGAGGAGCACCTTTGGGCGAGATGTTCTCCTTGCCCCTCAGTTACCACACCCTATCAGTCATGTCGCTAGATGAGTCCTTGTCCTGCCTTCCTGCCAGGCTTGGGAAAATCATGGGGGCAGGTGGCCTGGGTGGGAGGCAGGAAGAGCACCTTTGGGTGCTGACCCAGTGGCAGAACAGTGAGGGTGACAAAGGGGAGCTTTAGATCCCATGACCCTGAATCCCACCCTCATCCCTTCAGTAGATGTGTGGCAAGTGGCATTGCTTCCCCTCTCTGAGCCCTACTTTTCCACTTGTGAAATGGGGACAGGGAGGGCACTTCCATTCAGTGCTATTGGGAAAACCGAGGTGGAGGTGGGAGGCCAGTGCATCTTCACACAGTGCTCCAGTGATCAATAGCTCATGCAGACACAGGATGGCTCACATCAAGTTCTGCTGGCTGTCCCCCACATCCACCTAATGCCACCTGCTTCTCACTACAACCCTAAGACTGGGGCTATTGTTATTGCTAGACAGATGAGGAGTCTGAGGCACAGGCTAGTAAATAATAGGACGACCCAGTGGACATGACACATAGCCAGGACTCAAACCCAGCCCTCAGAATGGACCATTCCCTCCACAGCAGGGAGGAGTGGAAGCAGGCTCTGGGGATTACCAGCAGCCCTCCTCTGCCCAGGCAGGCCCTGGGAGCTCTCTCCCTCCCTCTCTGTCCAGGAGAATGCACTGGGCCCTGGTGCAGATGCCTGCACCTCTAGCTCTGTCACCCAGGAGCCAGCCTCTGCACCCCTCGCAATACTTAGAGCCTCTAGCTGGGCCCATGCCCCTCTCTAGCCTGCCCTGCATCTGGCTTGTTTGTGTACTCCCAGACCAAGCTTGGCACACAGTAGGCATTTAATGTGCTGACTATGCTGAGCAGGAGAATGAAAGTCTCAACACACATTCAGCGTCTAGGTAGTCCAGGGGGAAGGAAGGATTTTGGAAAGTGGAGCCCACACACACACCCACATCCTTGGGCTGAGGCCCCGCCCCTCCATCCGAGGCCCCGCCCACCTTGTCGTTGATCAGCAGCTCCATGGGCTCAGGGCCAGCCTCCAGCAGCACGATCTCATTGGCCTGTCCAGGCACCGAGTAAGAGAAGGGAGTACCCTGTCCAGAGCCACCTGACCTGGAGTGCAGCCACATGCAGGCGGTGAAGGCGTAGAGCTCTGGCAGCGCCTTGCGCACACGGGCATACATGTAGTTGTTGCGGATTGGGATGCTCACTCTGAAGGCATCTGGGGGACTGTAGGCAGAGGACCCTGGAGGGGACAGGGCAGGGTCAGTGGACACTCCAGAATGAGGGCTGATGGTTCCTTGCCACCTGGAGGGGTTCACATGCCTTCACGTCATCCATTCTACCTCTTGGGCTGAGGGGTGTGGCTAAAGCCCAAAGACTCTGGCCTTCCGATGTCTCAAATTCATCCTGCTGTCACTACTTCCCCACCATGGGAGCCTCAACAAGATAAATGCAACCTCCTTGGAGCTTCCATTTCTACAGTAAAATGTGCTAACGATATTTTTTCCATTCCACAATGTAAGGGTTGGTGGGCTAGAGTACACAAAAAGCCTGGGCCCATAAGTAAGTGTTGACCAGATGTTTTAAATTTTTTTTGGTGTTGTTTGCCTGCTTACTAAGTATTCTGCAGTGCTTTCTGAGTGACATGCTTGGTTCTCAGTGTTTTTTGTACATTACCTCATAAGATCCCTGAGTTAGGCACTGTTACAATCCCTGTTTTTCCAGGTGATACTTTGGCATAGAGAGATTTATTTTTATTTTATTTTATGTGTATGAGTGTAATGCCTACAAATAGGTAACACCCATGTTTTGCAATGCTCTCAGAGGTCAGAAGAGGGTGTTGGATCCCCTGGAACTGGAGTTACAGATGTTTGTTAGCCACCATGGGGGTGCTGGGAATCAAACCTGGGTCTTCTGCAAGAGCAGCCAGTGCTCTTAACCACTGAGCCATCTCTCCTGCTCAGGAGAGATTTTTTTTTTCCTTCAAGTCCACACAGCTATTAAGTGACAGGGCTAGGATTGGAACAAAAAATGAAAATTCTTTTTCTACTCAGTTTCTAGGTGGGGGTTGAGGTTGGAGCCCAGGAAGGGAGGGGGCTTGTGCAGGGCCCCCAGATTTCTGCAGGTAACCTCCCTCTCCTGACCTGCAGACGGTGGCGTGGCGCCCACATTTCTGCACGTAACCCCCCCCTCCCGCCCGCCGGATGAGGGAGAGGGGAGAGAGAGAGAGAGAGAGAGAGAGAGAGAGAGAGAGAGAGAGAGAGAGAGAGAGAAACTTTCCTCTGCTCCCTCAGGGGTACGGATATAGAGGTACAAGTGGCTGCACTGAATGGGGATGGAGGCTGCTGCTGTCCCTGCACTCAGCTGGGGTGCCTCCCCAGAGCCCCCCAAGCCTGCCACTCTCCTGCAGCTGAACCCAGCATAGCCCCTCTGCCTCCCACACATACTCCCTGCTTCTGTTAGAACTAGCTAGTGACAGGCCCCTGACTCCTGCACCTGCACACTGTTCATTTCAATTCTCTGTCCCCCTGGCAGTACCAGGCCCGGGTGTTAAACAAATGACAAAAGGCTGGCAGATTCACTGGAGTTTCTATGAGTGGTCATGGATGCCAAGGGACTTGGCCAGAGGTCTAGATCGTCTATGTACTGGCTATATGACCTTTGGCAAGTCACTTGACCTCTCTGAACCTCACTGTCCTCATCCATGAAAACCCTTGTGCAGATAGTGAAGATGAAATCAGTGTGTCATTTCTCAACTGACCCTGGGGACACACAGAGCCAGAAAATGATCACTGTTGGCAATAACTTTGAAGTGACCATAAGCCCCCAGCCAGGCTCTCCTGAAGTAACAGCCAGGGCTCAGGGCCTGGCTGCTCAGCTGTCTATCCCAGGACCCACCATGCTCCAGCTCAGCCACGCGGCCCTGCAGGGCGTCCAGCTCCTTTTCCACTTCCTGTCGCTGCCGGTGGCTGCCATGACTGAGGGCTGTGCGCTCCTTCTCCAGCGCCAGCACCTTAGCCAGCAGCTGGTCTTCTAACTCATCCATCTTGGTGTGCAGGGCAGTGGGCATAGCTGGGGCTGGCGCGGAGGAGAGGTTCCCTCGGACTGGGAGCTCTTGCTGCTCCAAGAAAGGAGAGACAGGTCACATGGAGGTGCCACCACCCATGCTGACCCACCCCAGGTGAGCCCGGCTTCCTGTACATAAAGCTGGGATGGTGAATCAATGACAGATAGCCCTGTGCCTGAGCTAAGAGAGGGAGGGAGGACATCCCAGCACAGCCTTGTGGCTGGGAAGAACCAGGACAGAGGCACTTGGCAGTCATTTGGTACTTATATAGCCTTCCATGGCCAGGTCTTGTGATACAAATCCCCTCTCCAAGGGCTGGAACATAGTTAAGGGCATCCCCAGGCAAAGGCCTGCTAGGATGTGTTTGTGGTACAGGACATGCCTTTTGCCTGGTCTTCTGGACTGAGACTCTGGTGTCATGGCCGTTCCAGGACAGAATATGGTAAAGATCCCCGATTCAAGTCTGACACCCAAGGGCTCAAACCCAGCTTGGGAACCAACCTGCTGTGTGATGCTAGGAGAGTGCCCAGCCCTCTCTGAACCCATTTCCTATGACATTTCACTGTCATCTTGGACTGGTTCTGGGTAGGCCTATGTGGCAAATGTCAATAAACACAGCCTGCTGGTTGCAAGGACTGTCTCAGGCAGGGTGTTCCAGGGCAGGTTTTGAGGCCCTCCATCCAGCCCAGGATAAGGACAGTGTTTAGAGACGTTCCTTGTTCTGTCTTAAGAACCTAGTGTGCAGAATTGGCAGGCAGGCAAGGCCACAGGTTCAGATCGAAAGGAACAGTCTGAGGTTTGAGGAACCAAATTGGGCATCTTCATCCCCCTGGCTTCCTGCATCCTCTACAGCCCCTTCCTCCAAGAGGCCCCATGCTTCCTCACTCTCCAGGATTCCAGGTAGTGATGCCTGGGACCCTGACTGAGGCCCCAAGACAAGAGCTTAGAGACTCCTCCCAATTCATTCACTGAGCAAACATGGTTGTGTGCCTACTGTGTGCCACAAGCACCCACTATGTTCCACAGTACCTACTGTGTGCTGGATGCTGCCCCAGGCACCAAAGATACAGATGAAGGCAAAGCAAGAACTCAACCTCCCCTGAGCATCCCAAGCTTCGAGGTACCGGCCCTGTGCCTGAGGACAAGCATGGAAACCCTGTCAACCTCAGTGGCCCAGCCCTGGCCTTGCCAGTCACTTGCTGGATGATGCTGGCATGTTTCTTAACCTTTCTGAGCCTGTTTACTAGGTCTGTGAAAAGGGACAAGTGTATCCCTTGTGTCAATGTGCTCTGAGGCACAGGAGTTGCCATGGTGACAAGCAATATGGCCCTTAGACCAAACAGGGGCTCACACTAGTCTTTGCCACTGGGGCAGTATGAGCAGGGCAGGGAGGTGACCGCTGGGCACCACCATTCTGTCTATAAGCCAAGCCCCTGCAGCATCCCATATGCTGGCTATGGTCAGGGTGAGCAGTGGTGCACAGGGAGGGGACCGACAGCCTGGCCCAGGGTAGACACCTGTGGTAGGGTTTCAAGTACAAACCAGTGGGCCGTGAGCCACACCCACTTTCTGGATTTGTCCATTTCAAGGGCAGCGATGGTGGGCACTTGTCACAGTAATCATGGAGAGCATGGGGATTCAACTGACTCTCCATCCTGCTCAGTGCCCCTGCCTTGGTGCCAGGCCTGCCTTGATAGCCAACCCACCTCCATACCCTGCTCCTCATTATTCTGAGGCCTCTTTCTTCAACCCAGAGATCCCAACATTGTAGGAAGATTCTCCACCCAGCCTATTTTCCACCCCTGTCAAATGGGGCCCCAGGCTTGCGGTTGGCCACCTCAGGACAGAAAGGATGGAAGGAGGGAGTAGAGACCTAGAGAACATGAGGAGAGTCCTGGGGCCTGACCATAGGGCTACAGGGAGCTGACTGCCCCACACCTCCCCTTGATCACAAATGTCCACAAGGAACTGGGGCCACCCCCACCCCACTGTGCTGAGCTGGCCGGGCATCTAGAAAGTCATGGACTGCTGCAGGAGCCACAGGACATCAGGGCTGGAAAGGGTCTCTCTGCCACCAGGACCATCTGGCATTATTCACTGTCTGCCTCCTACCACCTTTGTGAGAGAGCCAGGCCATTCCTCAGAACCTCACATGGAATTAAGAATCTTCACAGCCCCTCACTGGAGCCAGGCTCTTAGTGTCCCCCTTTCATAACTGGGGAAAGGCAGAAATTCTTCTGTATTGTCTGACACACCCAGAGCCACTGCCCCATCCCTAGCTAGGTGTCCTCCCTTCATCCTCCCTGACCCTCCTGGAGTGACCAGGATGGCAAGGCCATTTACACTGCAGAGTTTTGCTGCTTCTTTTGAAGGGACACCCAGGTGGCCAGGGGAGGCACACAAGCTGTCCTTTGTCAGAGCTCCTGCTAGGTGGTGCCAGGAGGCCAGGAGGCCAGGGAGGAGGGGGCTCACGGCCAGGCCACAGCCCTTCCCCCAAGCATGTGAATCAGAGGAACACGACGCCCCCACCCCTCTTCCATCAGCCACAGGAGCAAGCTGTGCAGCGTGGGCTCAAGGCCTGGTGCCAAGTGGGCCCCAGCCTGAGATGGTGGGGGGAACGGAGAGTGATGTCACACCATCCCCCCACTCAGTGCCTGATGGGGCAAGAATGTGGGGGTTGGACCCCAGGTGGGGTGTTGGAAGTCTGTGGTGGAATTTACTATATCTGGACCTAGAGCTAGAGACCAGGGCTCTAGGCTCAGCTAGCTACTGATGAGATAATGGGGGTGAGATGTGTGTGTGGGGGGGGCTCCTCAGCACTCATCATGAAACGCTAACAGAAGTGGCGTCACTGACACCCCAACATGAGGCAAATGTTTCTCAGCTGTTTTTACCACCTGAAGAGGCTTACATTACAGATCCAGGATACCCAGGCTCAGAGAGGGCAGGATGCCTGCGTAAGGTCACACAGCAGTCCTGTGGCCACTCTTCAGTCCTAAAGGTCTGAATCTCAGTTTGTTGATCTGCCAAGTGAGCAGATACTGTTGCCCTGGCTGCTGGGGAAGCTGAAAGGGACAGTTTCAGTAGTCACAAGAAGGCCAGAAAGGCAGGGCAGCCTGTGTCACACTGTGCAGGACAGCCTCACAGGGTGCCCTATAGAAGGGTTCTGTCAGGGGACTGGAGAGATGGCTCAGTCCTTGACTCTAGTTTCAGGGGAATCCGATGCTCTCTTCTGACCTCCATGGCATTGCACGACATGGGTGCACTTACACACATGCGGGCAATACACTCGTACACATAAAACAAAAATAATAAATAAATATATTTTTTTCAAAAGATTTATGTTTTTATCCAGGCATGGTGGTGGCTGCCTTTAATCCCAGCACTCAC